TTTTTTTTTTCGCATTTTATAGTCAAGAACGTACAAATACTATTCAATATGTTCTCTATCAACGTGAACAAATCGAACAATTAATTGATGAAAAACAATTGGTAAATTTCGAAGTTGTTTTTTATTTGTTTGCGTAATAAAAATTTTCATTTTCTATTTTAGTTAAATCAGCAAATTGAATCACTTAATAAAACAAATCAATCTGAACAAGAAAATTCCAAACATATAAAAGAAAAATATACCGAATTCGAAATAAAATATAATGATTTATTTAAAAAATACACGCAAACAAATCATGATAATGATACATTACGTTCACGTTTAAAAAATCTTCAACAAAAATTTGATTGTTTAAATACAGAATATAATACAATAATTGAACAAAATCGTCAATATGAACAAAATCAATTTAATGATAAAACTCATTATAATGATGAAATTAAACGTTTAAAACATAATTATGAACAAGAAAAAAATCAAAAAAATCAAAAAGATAAAATTATTGAACAATTAAATGACAAAATTCTTTCCGAACAAAATCATAATGAAAAAACTCAACAAGAATTAATACAATTAAAACAAGATTTAAAAACTATACATTCAAAATATGATTTATTACAAGTTGAATTACTTCAATTACGTGAAACAAAAACGAATGAACCAATTATTATTGCTGAATCATCATCGTCATCATCACATCCAATAACAACAACAACAACAACAACGCGTTTATTACGATCGAAAAGAAGTGCTCATGAAGAGGTGGCACTACTTTTCTTCTCTTTTTTATTTAAATTCCTTAAATTTTACGTAGGATACACAAGATAACAAGAAAGCTAAACATGGAACACCTGATCGATCTGCAGGCAATAGTGGTCTTACTAATAAACCGAGTACTAGAAAAGTACCATCAAAGGCTCATGTAAGTTTCAATTTAAACTAAGAAAGTAAAACTCATGGATATTAATAATGATGAAAGAAGAAATAATAGAACCCTGTGGAAGCAAACTTTTTGATGTCGAAGTTTTTTTTTTGACTAACAAATATACTTCTTTTTTCCTGAAACTTATGAATTTAACTATGTAAGAGTATAAATACGTGACTAGTTGTACTTAGAAGCAGAACCACTAGTAATAGCCGTAGCTCTGTGCAGAAAGCCAGCCCGTCACAGAGTTCTTCTATCGGATGGGTAATTCGAGACATCGTTAGTGATTGGTTCAGAGTCATTCCGTGGCTAGTGACACTAAGATTTGAACAGAGCGCCCATTAGATACATGCCGAACAGCGTAGCTACTCAGCCGTGCCGACTCTGGTTTAACCACGTAACTCTGACTTGAAAAAACTTCTTCCTCACTTTTAAACAAATATTTCTCCATGAATAGAGCTCGCTATAATTAAGAACGCTTTGAAATCATTTGTATTCATGATCTATTGGTCACATATTACAAACAGTTTACTAAATTTTCGGCCTAGGGCATAGTATCCACAAGAAATTCAAATAAATAGGAGCCTAACGAGAGCTCTCAATAGGTTTTAGAAGTGAACAGTCGGAGGCAGTCTGTCTGACAGAAAATGACCAAGAAAACTGCCTTCGTGAACTTGGCAGACAATTTTCCGACAACAGCTCAAAATTTTCGTAGACACTACGTAAAAAGTGGAGGCAAGTAGCGCGTCAGACTCACTACCTCTGTAAATGAAGATATTTCGATCTGAAATTTTAGTCATAAACAGATGTTTCCTTCTTGCAATATTGAATTTTCAAAAAACTGTTCTTCTTTAACAAACAAGTTACAATAATGGTGCTATCTTAAAAGTTCAATACTTCAAGAAGTCAGCATCCGTTTTGATGAAAAACTTTTCAGTAAATTCTAGAAATTAAATTGAAATACATTCGTTTTGAGTTTCGTGTCGATACTCGGCCTTAAATCAAAAATTCAGTCTAATAGTGTTTCAATTCACATTTTTTTTTCTTCATATTATTTTCGATATGATATACTAATAAAACAAACTTTCTAAAAAAATAAAACATTTTAGACCGAAGATGAACGAAAACCAACACCACCTATTCTTGTTAAAGATGGTAATCTAAATAAAATTTTTAATAAAATAATTTTTGAAAAAAATCTATTTTTTAATATCTAATAGCTAAAACAAAGAGTGCTTCAATATTAAAAAAACGACCATTAGCAACATCAAATAGTGCTGATTCTCCGATAGTAACAGCTCAATTAGCTACTCAACCAACATCATCACCTATTAATCTTCAACCACCTCCATCAATTCAAAATACAATGAGTCCAAAACCATCTGCTATTCAACGTATTCAATCATTCTTTCGACATACGCCGCGTAAGCCTTATTTTTTATTTTAATTCAATTAAATATAAGTTTTTTTTTATTTCAAAGCGTCAGCATCCAATCGTATAATTAATCATTTAAAAACAAATTCAGCAGGCATGGCATGTGCTCCATCATCATCACTCGTACCAGCTAGTCCTATTGCTGTTCTACAAAAATCTTCATTAGCTATGAGAAAACAAACACCTAAACGACGATATAAACTACGTAATCGTGTTAATTCAAATCAATAATAAATCAATTTTATGCTATTGAATATATATATTCTTTTCTAATGCATCTGTTTCATTCTCTTTTCTTTTCTTTAACGTATTATATATATATATATTTGTATATCTCTTAGGTATTTTTCCCATTTTCTTCTATACTTTTTTCCTTTCTTCCTTGTATATCGCTGTGAGCATGTAAGTGAAATTCATGTTTTTCTTCCTTTCATCGAAATTGAAATGTGTGTATATGCGATATATATATGTCTGAAAATAAAGAAATCTATTAGTAGTTTTTATTTCATCTATAAGTGAAAAATCATACTATTTGTTATATCTTACAAAATAACGGATGATTTATAAATAATGGAACAATATAATTTTCCGTTTTTGAAGAAAAGAAAGATTGCTCAAAGACATCATTCTAAGCACATTCGATAGGGAATTCTTT